CAGGGAAGGACATCCAGCACACAGTAATCTCGAGCGTGGGAAATTAACGTCTCCTACCCCTAACCCTGAGGGAGACGGGACCTCCATTTATTCGTCCCTATCCGTCAGCTTTTTAACTCGTTACGATGGCCAATTTACAATTTCAACTTAGTTGATATTAACAAATTACCTGTTACCCCCACCGACGGAGCACCACAGTTTCTTTAGAAACTTACCCCCTTTATTCATTTGCTGATTTAATACACTTATTCCTACGACCATCGGTATGCTTATTAGAGAAGTCCAAGAAAAGACGAGTCGGAGTTTTTAGATTGATTGCAGCCATTAGATGTGCTACTTTGTGGATCACTGCAAATGCTTTTAAAACAGTTTGATGTGAGCGCGTCGAACGTTAACACTTCTCAGACCACTTGAGCAATACCTGACGAATGAAGCTGGAAATTAAATGAAATTGGGAAAAGTCTGTTGAGGTGAAGTGGCGTGAAGTTAAGGAATTGTATCTAATCACTAGGCGCTATCCAGAGGATGTAGGGACATCGATCATTTTTTATTCCATTTCATGAATTATCTCGTAGCTATTAAGAGTCCATAAGGCTTCCCTTCTTCCTATTCTGACACTCTCTCTAATCAACTATTGAAAGAGCCTGAGTACAATTCTCTGTCTTAGTCCAGGCGGTGTGCGCACTCTGATTGCGTTGTATCGTGGTCGTAAAACAAAAATTGAGTCATTTGCATCTTGATGTGTTGGAGTGAACTTCTTTGGTGGCAGCGAGATAGCGTGAATATACGTGGATTGTAAAGGGGATTCACTGTCTGTTGACGTTCTTTCGAAAGTTAAAAAGTTTGAAGGGCCTGCGCGACTCCTGTCTTTCGTCCGTGACGAATTCGTCCTTACGAGGCAACTGACGTTATTTAGAAAGATTCGAAACTGCAACCTGCCCAAGAATCTCTACACAAATGGCAACAGTTACACTCACAACCAGTGGCGGGATGAATAATTTCAGAGTCAGAAATTATATTCCTAGACGCGAGTTATTCAACTGTAAATTGATCCTTGACATGCAAACGAGACAGAGACCTTGTAATACACGAGCCTGTTGTACCGAGCATAAATACCGGATTTGTAAAAGGAGAAGCTCCACGCCTCCTTAGAACGAATTTGTCTCGCTCCAAGTTCAGTAAAAACGTAAAGAGTTTCAAAATACCCTCCAAGAATAGAGGAAACCTATATGAGGGTTTTGAGAAATGTATCTCTAGAGTTATTACTTCAGGAGAGAAGTATACTCTGAAACAGAGAAAATAGCGCGCGCAATGAAGAAAATATTGCCTTTTGTAACACAATCTCATCTGGCTTTGGCAAACCTCAAGAATGAATGAATGAAACTTTTTTTAATCTCGGGTTGATGGGGTTGGTTAGACCCCTTGCAAGGAAAGTATGCTAATAAGCCGAGAAAACAACCTTAAAAACTTATCTACAGAGTAAATCTTAAAATAACATGACATAGCTATTTTGCAATAAAAAGCCTAATTACTAAATAGATAATGTTCAATTACTAAATCAAATTTAATCACTAAATAGATAAAATTTAATGACTGACTAGATAATTATTGGAAAGGTAATATAAAGAATTAGCGCTAGCTAAAACCTTCACTGTCGTACTGCTTTTTTTAAAGGTTGACAAAGTGCTTATGGATCTCAAAGAATCAGAGATATCTATTGTTTCAAGTAATAGCTGCCAAGTACTTTACTGAGTTTTTGCCAAGAACATACAGATGGGGAAATGACACCTCAAAACTGACCCTTATTATCACATCGCATAGGAAAGTCATCAAGAGTTATCCTACTAAGAGTTAAAACTTTGACGGTAGAAGATTTAAAAGCGCTAGCGAATGGTAGGAGATGCACTGGCCCATCAACACCTTTCAACGGTCGACTGCCTTTTGCTTTCCAGCTTTCCGGCGTGTCGCCTCAGGTAAGGTAGAGGTTTTCATGGGTCAAGTGACTCTTCTTATTGCTCTAATTAAACTGTCCTTGATTCAATGATCAAGATAGAAGATTTGCCACGCAACACTCGCGATTAGCTAATTTTCCTTCACTTAGGAAAGTAGATTTACAACACGATTTATAAATGTCCTTGCAGTAGTAATGGTATGTAACGCAACACACTAAACGCAACAACGGGCCTTTTCGCTCCACGAAAGGGCCTCAAACACCATCACTTAAAATGTATAAAACATTTGTACCGTTGGAGCACGTTTGGTCAGAGTTGTTGAAGAAGGATCAAGGTGGCCATACAAATCTTTGAAAGGCTTCAAACTAGGACGTACGAATTTGACCTCCTCGAAAACCGGTCTCAAAATACATGCTACAAAACAGTGCTTGCGTTTGTCCCAATTTTGTCCTTTAGAACGATATAATACGTGACAAATACGCACGAAAGATGTTAATATCATTTCTTCTGTCATGATGGGGTAGGATTGCAATCGATAACATGGATTTAACACAGAACACATGAGTTGGTTACATTAGACCCGAAGGAGGGGGGCATTGGGGCCTCTGGGAAACCGCAAAACCGGAGAAAAAACCTCCAAAACCAAAAAACCAACAAAAAAAGGAAGCAAAAACGAAAACCGCACACAAACCTGACAAAACCGCTACGTTCTCACCTTTAAAGGGGTCAAAAAGGAAAAACCGAAAACCGCATAAGAGTTTTCGTGAAAAACCGAAAACCGACTGCGAAAACACGTAAAATCCGAAAACCGCTCTGAAAATCACAACCGAAAAGCCGAACTTTTTTGGCCCAAAAACCGAAAAAGCGATCCAAAAAACAGACAAAACCGCAAAACCGAAAATCTCAAAAACCCCCTCCCGAAGGAACAAGATCCGGGAATGTTTTATTGCTATCAGTTATGTACTACATGTATGAGGTCACATTCTGTTACAAAAATACTTCTACACGTTCAGAATATATCAAATTATATTTAACTATTGTGAAAGGAAAAAAAACGGCCCAACTTTTACTGAATATTCAGTCAAACTATGGTCAAACTCTGCCCGTTTCTGCCGCTTTTACCGCCATATTGAAAATGACGCTACCACAATGCAATGCAATCGGAGTACGCACACTACCAGGTCTTAGTCCTTCCCGAACTGTATTTCAAGATGGCGGAGCCAAATTGCAAAACATTGCGGTCGAGCATAAGACATGTATTTTCGGGAACACTTGTGCACTCTACTGCAGCAAATAGAATGGAAATGTGTCAAAGGAGAATCATAGGTATTAATCAGGACGGAAAGGTAAATTGTTTCTTTCTCTTGATGAGAAGCCCGTTCTCATTTACGTGTTTCCTAATCCCCTTCACGCACGAAATGTAGAGAAATTTACGCGTCACGTTCATAAAGGGGAAAACTTCAAAAATCTCTTCTCGTGTAAAAGATTTTAAGGAAATCTTAGGGTTTCCATGAAAAGAAAGAAAAAATTCACGGGTGACGTATATTTCAAAGGCAAATCCCGCCTCACACTGGTTCGTAAATTCACGAATCTCGCTCGCCTTTCTGCAAAATTCAAGCGTTACATATTGATTTTAGCCTAAATTACGCGACACGTATGAGCCAATTTGCCACCCTCTTTCAGAACACTGGGTTTCCTGTTTAACATAATATGCGCTTTTGAATATTTTATAGAAAAGGCGCAATACAAATAATAGATGTTATTGTTAACTTATTGTTAACATTGCTGAAAGGTCTTTGTTTACAAACTTTGTTTGAGTAGTTATTGTAGCAAAGGTAATTTTAGGAAAGCACATTTTAGAATTTAGAATTGCTTCCTCAGATCATTTAGGAAGGGAAAGCTTCTGTCGAAAATCAGAGCTCACTCAGCGGTTTCTTAAGGGTACCGGTGTACGGTTACTACTTGACAGCTAGAAATTTTTATCATGGGAGGTCACTGAGGGGCAAAGCTTACATCAACTATCATGCACAGAAATTGAGGGTGAATAATATACTGATAGTTGTTTGAACATATGAATAAAAGGGGTAAGTTTCTAAAGAAACTGTGGTGCTGTCAGTGGGGGT